GTGTAGGCGATGTCCTCCAGCTCGTAAGAGATCGGCCGAAACGTGGTCCGGTCCCGGAGCCGTGGCTGCCATCATGGTCTGGAGCGGCTCGGTTCAGCAAGTAGAACCCGTGGTGATATTTCTCCAATGGGAATGACTGTTTTGACAAGGGTGTTGACGAGCGAAAGACATTGATGAAATCGTAATCGATTCTATCTTTTGTTGGGAAGATGTGAGAGTCCCGTCTTCGTTTATTAATGTTGTCAGCGGATTACTATAGTCGAAAAGGTCCCTGCGGTACTTCCCAAGACTTATCCTTTCTTGTGCTGCTTCTAAAAGTTCCGATTGCTTGTTCGGAGGTCTTCTTGCAAAGCTGTTCTGCAACTGGTATTGGCTACCAGTCGCTCGAGATGTGATGCAGTCGGATCCAGCTTCAATGCTCTTCTCCTCTCTAGCAGATCCCTGGTGGCTTTGTTCCAAGTTCCTTGTGCGAGGCATTGAGGCACTCTCAATACATGCTCTCCGTCCTTTAAGACGCGGGTCGCAACTTTCGTCAGGTCCTCCTCGATGGGCCAGCCACAAATGATCAGGAGCTCCTCCAAACTGACACCGACATATATGACTTTCTTCCTCCAACACTGTGGCAAATCTTCTTTTCCAGCTTTTGGCTGAACCACACTTTAGCTCGAAGGTGTGATTTGAGCCATACTGAAGGATGGCACCACTGAGACATCCAATAAGCACTACCTTCGAATGGTGAGAATGTGGTCAATTTCCGCATGAGTCGTACCGTCGGGTGACTTTCATGTTCACCGCCGGTGTTCTTTCTTCATGAAGATGGAGCTGCCATGAAATTCGCGCGGTGGATAAGAGCCCAACAAGACGGTTACCATTCTTATTCCGAAGTCCTGATCCAAATCTCTGGATCGTGTCTCCCCTTCTTTTGGCATCCCGATTTTCGCATTGAAGTCACCCACGAGAAACTTAAAAAAGGAATTTTCTTTGCGGACTTCCTCCAAATTCTCATAAAAAGCATCGAGTTCCGAATCATCAGCTGCTGATGTTGAAGAATAGCAGTTGATGATAGTGATGGTTTTCTGATGCAGAGAACAGAGTCGAAGGATAGCTAGGCGAGGTGATAGGTTCTCATGCGATTCGACAAGAAAGGCAACAGATCGACAAATCCAACGGCTCCAACATTCCATGATAAAACCTTTTCACCACGAATGATGAGTGTACCAGCACTCAGCTGCCTCACGTCCGTCTTGTTGGACATAGTTTCCTGCAAGGCGATTACGTGGTAGTTGATGCCCAGCTTCGAGAAGAGCGTGAAGATCGGCGTTGGTGGAGAATGTCCTGGCGTTGTAGGCGCAAAGCAAGACTATCCCCATGT